ACTTGTATCACGTTGCGACCCCCACGGTCGTTTCACTATCGTTTTTATCGTCCTGACGATACGAGGGGAGCCGCGCACTTCGTGCGCGGTGGGTTATACAACGTATGACAAGAAATGACCTGGTTAGCTAGGTAAACGCGATGTGCCTTGTAGGATGAAATCCTACTAGCTGACGCCACTCGCAGCTGTGCTGCTCGCTGTACGTCAGCGATCGAAATTTATACGCGTATCACCCGTTAAGATGTGCCACCCGACGTGCCACTTAATTTTTTTCGTTGCTCGTCGCACGTCGACGAACAACGAAGCTCGTTGCGACGCGCAATGATGAATGAGCTGCCAGGCTAGTACATCGTCCTGGTCCAACAAATTTTGGCGAGCGATTTTCTCCAAAAATTTAATGAGGGCGCCGACTTCCACTTTGGCTAGGTTTCTTGTTACCCAGCGCGCGTTCCTTAATTAGGTAAAATTAGGTAAAAAGAATCCACTGACTTGGCCAGAGTGCTTTCATAAAACTGTATTACTAGCTTGGCGTTGTAGGATTATATACTTTAATTTCGGATCGAGTGAAGCGAGTGATACACATTACTTTGATTAAACTCATGCTGATCACAATACAGTACAGGGAAGTGGGTAACACGGCTTGCAGTCGCAGCTGCAGCTCCTCGCTGGCGGTAATATTTCAATGAACAAGAATTAAGAAAAAGAGAATTTAAGAAAAAGAGAATTTTATTTGCCACAGAATAATCAATACATATAATATACTTCAAAAACTTCAAAATATATTGTAACATATAAGTTCATTTATCGTTCATAAGATGGGGTACTCTCAAAAATCAAGTATATGAGTACCCGACCCGCCGCGCTGGGTAACAAGAATAAAGAAACCTAGCCAGAGTGGAAGTCGGCGCCCTCATTAAATTTTTGGAGAAAATCGCTCGCCAAAATTTGTTGGACCAGGACGATGTCCTAGCCTGGCAGCTCATTGCGCGTCGCAACGAGCTTTGTTGTTCGTCGACGTGCGACGAGCAACGAGAAAAATTAAGTGGCGCGTCGGGTGGCACATCTTAACGGGTGATACGCGTATAAATTTCGATCGCTGACGTACAGCGAGCAGCACAGCTGCGAGTGGCGTCAGCTAGTAGGATTTCATCCTACAAGGCACATCGCGTTTACCTAGCTAACCAGGTCATTTCCGCCTCCGGCGGTCGCGCGCTACTGCAAGCGAGAGGGCTATAGTTAGAGCAACACATCGCGCCACAAGTCAAATATTTATCAACATCCTGACTAGCTACGCGGTCCTTTTCCGCATGCGCTGTGCTCAAAAATTGACGTCGTCAATCAATCAACATCAAGATTTTAGTTTTACATTTGACCTTTATGTCAAAAAATCTCTGAATTTTCAATCGGTGGTCGATGTTACCTGAGGACCTCAGGCTTCGTCCTTACTTCGTCACAGGACGATCGGAGCTCGAAGAGCGTAGAGAGTGCTGGCTGGCGTCGTCCTGTGATGGTCGACGTATTTTTGCTTGCTGGGATCCGGCCGAATGACGCCACATGCAACGTGTAGGGTAAAACTAAAAACGCTTCCCTATATGAGATAATATGGCAAAAATTGTTTTGGTCACGTGACCAGTCAATGACATTGATATTTCGCTGCTGACGGTTTGGTGGAGGGTTAGGGTCAACGTTTATACATTATAGGGTCAAAGTTAGGACTAGAGTTGTACACTATTGACATTGTGAGGGTAATGGTTAAGGTTTATCACTAGCGACCTTTTCATCTGACCACAATATTGCAAAATGCTATGTTGTAATTGTATGTCACGTGACAAATTTAGCCGAGGGTCGGAAGTCGGAGGTCGGAAGTCAGTGGACTCTGTTGGAGTTCGGCGGACTCCGAGCGGAGTCCGCCGAGCTGGTGGACTCCGCCAAGCTCCGCCGGACTCCGCCGGATTCAAGTCCGCCGGAGAGGTCCGCCGGAGTCCGCCAAGCACTCCGCCGGAGTCCGCGGCGGACCGGAGTCCGCCTAGTGGCTTAGTCCGCGGCGGACACTCCGCCGAGCCGCCGCTCGGAGTCCGCGGCGGACTTTAAAGTCCGCTCGGAGTCCGCTCGGCTCCGCTCGGAGTCCGCCAAAATGTATTCGAGTCCAGTGTAAATACATTTTGGCGGAGCACCGGCGGCTCCGGGCCGCGGACTCTACTCCGCGACGGATAGTGCCGAAATTTTCATATCTGAAAATGGGACAGACTTTTGAAAATACAAATTTTCCTTTTGTTAAACTTTTTGCTGTGAGCCTTCTCCGATCCAAATCAAACTTCCAACAACTCAATCGTGTCATTTTCCATTTATAATTGACTAACTAATTGGTTGTAGGTCAGAAATTTGGTCAAAACTGTAAAATTTCGGCTCATGAAATTTCAGCTTCAAAAACTGAAAATGGGACAGAGTATGGGACAGTATGATTTTCCATTTATTTCGAGAATTTGACTACCAGTACCCCAATTTGGTTTCATACCATCATCAATTAACTATTTAATTTGTTTCTGGGCAAAAATTTCATCCAATCTTTCAAATGTGTGATCAGAAATTTACATATCTAAAAATGGGACAGACTTTTGAAAATACAACATTTCCTTTTGTTAAACTTTCTGCTGTGAGCTTCCTCCGACCCAAATCAAACTTTCAGCACCTCAATCGTGTCATTTTCCATCTATAGTTGACTGACTAATTGGTTGTGGGTCAGAAATTCGTTCAAAACTGTAAAATTTCGGCCCATAAAATTTCAGCTTCAAAAACTGAAAATGGGACAGAGTATGGGACAGTATGATTTTCCATTTTTTTTCGAGAATTTGACTTCTAGTTCCCCAATTCGGTTTCATACCATCATCAATCAACTGACTTATTGGTTACTTCTAGTTCCCCAATTCGGTTTCATACCATCATCAATCAACTGACTTATTGGTTACTGGGCAAAAATTTCATCCAATCTGTCAAATAAGTGATCAGAAATTTACATATCTGAAAATGGGACAGACTTTTGAAAATACAACTTTTCCTTTTGTTAAATTTTCTGCTGTGAGCTTCCTCCGATCTAAATCAAACTTCCAGCACCTCAATCGTGTCATTTGCCATCTATAGTTGACTGACTAATTGGTTGCGGGTCAGAAATTCGGTCAAAACTGTAAAATTTCGGCCCATGAAATTTCAGCTCAAAAACTGAAAATGGGACAGAGTATAGGACTGTATGATTTTCCATTTTTTTTCGAGAATTTGACTTCCAGTGTCCCAATTTGGTTTCATACCATCATCAATTAACTGACTAATTGGTTTCTGGGCAAAAATTTCATCCAATCTGTCAAATGTGTGATCAGAAATTTTCATATCTGAAAATGGGACAGACTTTTGAAAATACAACTATTCCTTTTGTTAAACGTTCTGCTGTGAGCTTCCTCCGATCCAAATCAAACTTCAAGCACCTCAATCGTGTCATTTGCCATCTATAGTTGACTGACTAATTGGTTGCGGCTCAGAAATTCGGTCAAAACTGTAAAATTTCTGCCCATGAAATTTCAGCTCAGAGACTGAAAATGGGACAGAGTATAGGACAGTATGATTTTCCTTTTTTTCCCCCGAGAATTTGACTTCCAGTGTCCCAATTTGGTTTCATACTATCATCAATTAACTGACTAATTGGTTTCTGGGCAAAAATTTTATCCAATATGTCAAATGTGTGATCAGAAAGTTTCATATCTGAAAATGGGACAGACTTTTGAAAATACAACTATTCCTTTTGTTAAACTTTCTGCTGTGAGCTTCTTCGACCCTAATCAAACTTCCCTAAATAACTCACTACTACTAGCTGAAGTGGCACTAAATTGTCGAATTAAAACTTGTGAATCTGACCTCCAGCTCGCCATTTTTGAGATTCAAGCAAATCGAGGATGTTCAAAGGGTGCAGAATGTTCAGCTCGTCAAAATACTGGTGGAAATTATTTGATAGGCCCTAAAATGACTCGTCCAGATCCATTCTTATCCTTAAATTGGACATAACTCACTAGCTGAAGTAGCACTAAATTGTCGGATTAAAACTTGTGAATCTGACCTCCGTCTGTGAGTGTGTCCTTTACCGTAGATATAACAAATAGTAAGTTCAGAGTAATATTGGATAATACTATTGTACTCATTAAAGTAAATTCTTCCTGGTTACACGGTGCGACCTATGTCAATTGAACTGAGAACGTTAACTATGGTTCATGGCGAATAGTTAACTTCGCTGAATCATGAGTCTTCGCGTGCTACGTGACGGCGGCGGGCGCTACTGCAAGCGCTAGGGCTCTGGTTGGAGCAAAATAGTCGCCTTCGCTAATCATCGTTGAGGTAACGCTTGCAAGTGTGACGTAGGTCACACTTGCTTCACCCTGTGGCCCCATCTCGCAGCAAATAGACACAAATTTTTACCGGGATTCCAATAATAGGGCCAAGATTTTTGGGCCTTTGCGGACGGCATAGCATTAATATGTGAAGACATGGACAAGGCAAACGAGTTCTTGCTCAGAGTAGAATCGGCAGCAGCGAGCGTAGGGAAACATATAAACGAAGGCAAGACCAATGTGATGGCACTGAATATGGAGGATCGATCTAACGACCTTCGAAGTCGATCGGGAGAAAGCATAGAAAGTGAGGATGATTTCGTGTACCAGCCTCCTGGATTGAAAGCACAGATTACTGATAGGGAGATCAAGGTTAGGAAGGGAAAATCATGGGGTGCATATGGGGTAATATTTGTCTATCTGTCTATATTACTGAGGGAAGTTGGGAAAAAATCAAAAGAGGAACTAATTTTAACTGCCCTAACTGCTCGAGGACGTCTTCACCGTGGTGTCTGCACATGCTGCTGCTTCTTCAGAGAGGTTTCACAGTGATCCAGGTGATTCGGTAATTTAACGACATAGCGGACACTTTAAGTTTATGCACAGTGGACACTTAATAATGAACGGATACACACGGGTAAACTAGTTTAACATAAAGCGCTTTTGAAATCCAGTTACAGACATTATGATTAATTCATAAAAAAACTCCCAAAACAAATCAAAATTAAGGATAATAAAACGGTGAACAATTGTTTAAAATAAAACCAAAAATGCTCTACAATAGTTCGTACTGCATTACTGTAAACTCAACATCATCTTCACAATTTTGACCACCATTACGTTCTACTTCATTGTTGTACCTCATACACCTTTATTTCGGCGAACATTTTGAATTTCACAATGAATTGAATTCCTATACGATCATCAAGTGAGAAAGGAATTCTCCATCAACATTTTATTGAGTTCTTCTCTATTTTGCAAAAGTTTGTTAGCTTGCTCCTTTTCCTTCTTGTTGTACGGTATTTTCTTGTGTTTTTTTAGCATGAAGTTACGATACGTATCACACACCTCCTCATCAATCTCGTCTATCTTGTGCCGGATGTCTTGCTGCTTCATATGCTGGGAGGATAGATACAAATTTAAGAAAGGGTATGAAAAGAAAAGGAAATATTTTTGTGAGAAATCAGAAGAGAGTGAACAGACTTTAATTAGAGAAGACATCAAAACTCAAAAGTTTTAAAAATTCTGTAAAGCCTCGACATATTATGATATTATGGTTTCATTTGGCTACAGGTAATTAGAACATATATTATGCTTCGAACAGTCCTCCGAGTGTTAAGTTTGACTAAACTATTTAGAATATGTACAAAATTATGCAATTTTGAATTCAAAACTTGTGAAAAATAGCATAAACTCATAAAATTGCCAAACCATTAGAGCAGTATCATAGAGGAGACCGAGCTGTGTCCGGTTATAATCCACCAGGTCCCTCAGTTCCTGTTGTTTTGATAACAACTCCGACAGAACCTGATGGGAAAAAAGTCAGTTCCTTATTTTATCATAGAGTGTGCGGTCGCGGTCGAAACGAAAAAACACAATTTAAAGTTCTGGTTAGAATTTCAAATTGAGTTCTAATCAGGAAATCAGAAAAGTGAATGAGCTGACCTCGTCCTCGCTTTCTCCCTCGCTGTCATCCAATATTCCTAATTGTATCAGCTCCTCCCTGACTCTACTCTCGACGTGAGACGTGGTTAAACTGCTAGTACCTGGCTGTTACAAAAGACAAAATTTAGATCCAAGTTTTTTGGGAACGTTCTATAACGTTGTATAAACAATAACTGTACCAAATGTATGAAATTCAAAATTAGAAATTTCAAAATTCACGAAAACTGAATTTTTCCAACTTTTTTATGAATACGATTTAATAAGTAAAGACAAACCGACCTCATTTTTAGGCGAGGTGATTTCTTCTATTTCGTCTAGATCATCGCCACTCCTGGAGCAAACTCCCTCTTCGATAAGAGCTGAGAGAAGCTTTTCCGTCAACGGACCTAGAGTCCTGAAGAAGATCAAAATCTAGTAAAAATGGCAGTGGCATTTACCTCAAAAACTTGATCGGATCCAGTAATCATAATAAAATTAAAATAAAAAACTAACTTGTTTGCATTGCCAGGTTTGTTATCAAGCTGAGCTATTGTAGCTGGTGTAATATTAGAAATCTCGTTATTTCTCCCATGAGGCTCTGAACCTTCTCTCTGCTCTGCTAACAGGTCCTCCATAGCCCAGCGTTGAGAATAATGGGTACCCAACGCTGGAACTTTAAAGTACTCGTCATCGTAGTCCTGAGACTTGAGGAGCTCTTGTAAGCTGTCCATGTCGTCTGATGTTATGTCAGAACACCAGGCGTCTAATGACTGCCAGAATTGGTGGGGACGATCTGATATGATAGGGGGTGCTTTGTCGACTGGAGGCTGCTGCAGGAAACAAACATTATGTGATTATGGGTTACATGGTATTCAGTAGTCTAGTCACAAAATCAAACATTCTTAATAATGAACTAAAAAACATGGTCCACTAGTCTACATCATCTATGATTTACAACTCCAGGCGTGAACAACGTTAAATAGCGAATACAGAGACTTACTGCAAAACACCATTGAAAATATCCCCAGCAAGACGATCACCTGCTACACATATGGCCTGGGTCAGGCATAGACTCAGGAAACGGGGCTGGAGATACCATTACAACTGACAATAGCTCAATAGTAATACTGCGCTAGAGTAGTATTAATGTCTTGGGGAAAACATTTATGACTACAAACCTCGGGTTTCTTGACTTTGTTCTTAAAGAGTCTGCTCGAGAGTTTCATGTTTTTAATTCTATCGTTGACTTGAGGCCTTCCCGGACCCCTCTTGCAGCCCGCTTTGTGTTTAGGTGAGTTGGAAGAAGTACACTGAGAATCACTGCTGTCGCTACTTATACCCTGAACAAGATTAGTATGGTAACTATTTTTGTGACAAGGGATTTGAAAACGGAAAGTTGGTAAATTTATCACCATTACTGATAAGTACAATCTGATAATAACTTGATACAAATAGTTTAATGGATATAAATTAATTCTAAAAACCTTATCTGAAGAGTCTATGCCTTCGTTTTCTGATTGAAGCCAAGCTAATCTCTTTTCGGCGTCCGCCAACAGCCGTTCCAGGTCACTCTGAGATACGCAAATATTGTAAATCTTTGTCATCATTGTTCGGCTACTTATTGAAATTGCCAAACCCGTTTTTTGTCATTTCATATCCCGCCGCCAATAATTGTGTATAAATAACAAGATTTTTCGAGCCCTCTCCTACTGCAGGATGTAATGTAATATGAGAACGATGCTTGGATGTATTGCACAGCCTTAACGCCTAGCGGGTAGGCTAAGTGTTGTCCAGTAGTGACTCAACATTGAGGTTCCGTCATCTGTGAACTTTCACTAAAAACTGCATTAAAACTTCAAGAGATTAAAACCATGTAAGTGTTCTACACACCTGAAGTTTGGAGATTTCCTCAGTCTTGACGTAAGACTCCCTGTGTCTGGATAATACAGAGGAGAAAGCTTGACACGACTTGTTATAGTCCAGTAGATTTGGAATAGTGTGTTCTGTCATCCTAGCAATGTAGTAAGATTGCGTGAATGAGTAAGTTTATTCAGCTGAATTCCGTCCCCCTGGAACTTGGAAGTTGGAAGATTAATCAATATCGTAAGTAGAAAAGTTGCATTTTACCTTCCAAAACAAGGAAAATTAAAATTAAAAACACTCGTGCCCGTGCTGTTGAAAAGATTTCCACTTTAGTCATGAGAATGGCTCCGCGCGCTACGTCGAGCATGTTTTAGATTGTGACAGCTCATGCACCTTGACCTCTCGGGCTTGTCTAGGGACATGTTGTTTACAAGGTTAGGTACATGATCACAGTGAACAAGTCAAATATATTGGCAAAATTTTAGAATAGTCCAAATTTTTTCATTACTGCCATTTCCAATGTTTCACAGTATTTCAAGCTATGATTTTTATTTTCAGGTTAGGGTTATGGTTTTGAGTTTGGAGTGGCTTTTTCCAGTTTTATTTCTAAATCCTGTTTCACAGAACGGATGGTTTTACCTGAGCAAAATTTCAGCAGGTCAACACAATAAAACATAAATTAGAGCTATGAAATAACGGGAACTAGATATTGCTAAAACCCAAAATACGTACACTTTTGATCTGGGGTCAGGGGTCGAAGGTCACGTTCCAAATCATGCGGGTTTCGCCTCTTTGGTTATAGCAACATCTTTATCTACTGTTAAAATATTTATAGCAGCGTTCTTATTCTCCAAATGGTCGTGTTTGCTACACTCTCAAATACTATCATTTACGATTAGAAAACATCACCAAGTCCATGTATATGATCTGGGACATTCTCGTCAGCACTGTATTTCTACAGAACGTTAACGAAAGAATGTGTATATAATATGCAATATGCATAAGTGATCATAACTTTGACTCGGTGAGTAGCTAGGTTAGGACTAAGGTTTTATACTTCAACCATTTCCCAACAACAAAAGCAATACTCTATTAATAAAGCCGCGCTTCACTGCCGTGTTAAACTTGACTCAGAATTCAGAACATTTTTGAAGCCGTGAAGGACTAACTTGGTTCGTAACATTCAGGAATTCTACATTAAAAAGACAGATTTAGATTTGGAGTTTTTAGCAAATATCACAAATCAGACAATATTAACAGTTTTAATAGATAAGACATCTACCTTCTATTCTATGATTCTGAACCAAGTTTTCCAGGCAGTAAAGCGCATGTTCAATGTAATAAATTAGATTACAAATTGTGGTACTAATCAAAGTGTCGAAACTTGCATACTTATTGAAAACTAGGTCAATTTCTTGCCTTCCTGCATGTAATTTGTAAAAGACTTGTCCATGTCTGATCGCCTAAGACCAAAGTATCAGAATACAGCCTTCATTCTTCAAGATAGGCTTTAAAAAGAAGTTCACAGCCAGGACAAAAATAATAATCTCAAAACCTATGGTATTTTTCATCAGAAGTATCGAATTTCGGTAATAATATGTTAGGTATGGAATGGCCTAGTTTACAATAAGTATGCTGTACAAGATATAAGGCCCCCGACGGATCTCTCTGAATTTACGGACAGGATTAAAATATTGGGTTAATTTGGGGCAAAATGTTAAGCCTCAATAGGATTCAAAATTGAAATCTTAAAATCTTTCCGACTTCAAAATGCAAATTCATATATTTCTTCACAAACGAAAGCTGACTGTTTTGAACTTTACACACCAAATGCAACTTATAAATTGAAAAAAATTAAGTCAGAACCATTAAGAAAAATTTAATTTGTGTAGCCTGTTATTTGCAGAGAGATCTATAAGGTAAATTGGCCGATTCTAAATACTCACTCCGACGCGAGGTGTTCATGCTAGGATTACTTTAGATTTCCTCCGTCTCTAGTTTAAGAAACACTTCCTGACACAATATCTTCATTGTCATTATAATATCTTTCAACATTGTTAAACACCTCAATCAAAGTTTAGCCAAGGATTTATTACAAAATCGTCAGTAGTTGGTGCAAGAAATTCTCAACATGCCGCCCCTTGGACTTGTTCTCGGACGAGGAAAAGCAAAGTTGGATTTGGGCCTATCAAGAGAAACATAGTAGCACAAATTCCTATGAAAGGTCATATTATTATGAGGGCATTAAAAGGAGTTATAATAAATATCCTTAGACAAGTCCAGAAGCAGGCATGTGAACAACTTGGATTGAGATAACAGAATTCATTTAAGCTTGCTAATGTTTACATAAGTTGTGCTGTTAAAAGTCAAAGGACAGGCATACATACAGATATGTTTTGAGGATATATTTTACTGTGGAAAAGAAGGGGAGAGCGGTAGAAAGGAGACAGTGTAAAGTTTGAAATCTCGAACCCAAGCTGTTCTGTGTTTAAGCCAATATGGTGGTACCAGGTCGCACACAAATGAAACTAAACGACGATCACGTGGGTTAGTAAGTCACGTGGTGTGACGTCATGCCACGTGATGTGTCATGTGAGAACGGTCCCAAGCTCAGAAGCAGTAAGATACTTAGTATTTGGTTACTGACAAACACATAATATAAACAATAAACACGTCCCTTTAGAACTAGATCGTTCCGTTGTCGTATGTTGAAGCAGCCGAGCGCAGGCAAAGTATGCTATTTTTACTATCTACATCATTCCAATACACTTAAAATGGCCTAATCTATAAGGTGAGGCCGCGAGAGCTGTGATTCTGGTATAGTCTATAGATTTTTAAAATGTTTGTGATATATACCTAAATTTGGCACAACAAAGGTAAATGGTAACCGCAAGAGAGACTTGGAATGACGCAAATAGTTTGCTACGAACGTATACTACAAGGATTTGACTGTTAAGATATGTTTATCATTATTATAGTTAACATGCATTTCCTACTCTAAATTCAATAATATACTGCATCGTATAGGATCATGTGAGTGAGATAAAACACAGGGTACAATGAACCAGTGACCACGCAGTCTCCGACACATTTTCCTTCAATCTCGTAACATGAAAGCCATATTATTATGTCAACTGTTAGTCAGTTAGAATCCATGGTTTAACCCTTCTTTGCAGTTTGGTTCCGGTTACCCCGCGTTTTGTTAATAAAATATTATGGTTGATACTGTATGGCATAATAAAGATAGTTAATCTTACTAATAAAGTGATATCAAGTAATAAAGTTACAATAAAGACCGTACTACCAAAAGTCTACTTTTTTCTAGTTTCCATTCAGTCATGAACAATGTCTTCATTCAATGTTCAGACTAAAATAGAGCCAAAAGCAGTCTTTATACGAGATAAAAGTGGTCAGATTTTCAATTGCACGTGTAGAAAATGTATTTCTTGGCATTTAGTTACACTCTTTAACTCTTTAAGTTTTCACTCATGTTGATGCAAGTCAAACCTTACAGCAATACACAAGATTTTCGTCATTAGCAGACAAAGAATGTCATGTTCAAACGACGTGTCAAACGGCGTGTCGTTTGTTGTCCCCAAACATCATCGTTGATAAAACGTACGCTTTACCAAACAATAACTTATTCAATTTTAATTCCACGTAATACAATTTCAGGAACTATTTAAGTATTTGAGAGGCAGGGGACAACCATTGAACTTTCAAAACATTACAGAATTGAGAAAAATGGTTGAGGCAGTCCTTCTCGAAATGATTCCTGATATTTGCAGGACCATGTTACATTTTACAAGGTACAAGTTTAGCCCACTTTTACCGTAAATAACACACTAATAATACTACCACACATACCTTCACCTATGAACATAACCTTCCACACTCTACATTCACAATTCTTACAGATTGTAACATTTTCTTGCCAAACATTAAATAATTAGAGTTCTTACTTAAAAGATTAATAAGACTTGTAGGAATACTCCCACCTTCTGACTGTAGTTTTAGAAAGAAAGAGAAAGCCAAAAGCTGATGACTAATTGCTCAACGATCAAGCTATATACTTTAGTTAATAAATAAACCTGGGTATCAATGATTCAAAAGTCAATAAAATAGGAACATTCTTGGCAAGATGCCGAGACATATAGTTGGGCAAAAAATTAAGAAATCATAAGTGAACCTTTCACTTTCGTTAAAAATTTCTGCTGTTTGCACAAACACAGTCATATAAATGTAATATCTCAAATTGCAGAGATTAGAACACGGAACCAAACCATAGGCAGCAATAGTAACTAGTGAGATAAAACAGGAATTGGCATAGAAAAGGAAGAAGTAAAATAGCTGGGATTCAGTCACGACAGGATGCGATAAAAGGAGTGTAAAGAGATAAATAAATGAGCCAGTCAGTTAGATTCTAGAGTTGGACATGTTAGAGGGGTTGTAAGCAGGTGGGTTTGGGGGAGGTGGGATAAGCAGCACTCGGTGAAGCTGACCAAACGCAATGCAGCGCAGCGCGTACTGCGCATACTCGGTAATCCTCTCTCTTTGTTGCACCTCCAAGTTGTCGAGCAGACTGGAGGTGGGTGTTTTGGCTTGGTGCCAGTGAGGAATGATGTCCTCCGTCAGGACGTATCCAGCCGCCAGAAGTTCGAAGAATCTTCGCAGGATCAGTGTTGGGGCCACTGCCTTGATGTGACCAAATGTCTTGAACGCTATGAAAACTAGCATCTGGAGGGCTTTAATAGATAAATCCTGGAGGGGAGAACAATAAGGGACTAATATTGCAGCGAGTCAATACGATCTGTCATATCTTGCAATTAAGTTATATTACACAGCTTGAAATTTGAAGGAGATTAGCTATTCAACCTCTAATAATATATCAATCTAAGCAGCACTGACATATTATACATAACTTAAGACATATTATACATACCTTAAGTTCTGACTCGGGTTCTAGTCTAAGAGAAGCCAGGATTCTGAGTACAATGACTGCTGGAGTGTTGGGTTTAAAGCGGCTCTTGTACCATCCAGCCTCATTAACATCTGCCATTGTCATCTCACAATGTTTCCTCTCCAACACCTGGTTAGTACGGTCAGAGCTAATATTTAATGTAATCTGAATGATAGCACGGAGCAGACTTTTACAATATTTAAACTTTTAGTAATACAGAACTGCAAATAGCACCTAAATGTCCAGATTACCCACCTTAGCAACAAACTCAGCACGTCGCTCGTCCTCAGAAACAGGAGCATCAAACGCAGGACTCGTCAACTTAACATTGACAGTAAAGCTGGGTCCCTCCCCTTGGGACACTACAAACATGGCCTTCTCCGCCTGAAGGTCCACCTTACCGTCCTCTGGACACTGGAACAGATCCTTAAACTTAATAAACACAGTGCTCAGGATTGACAGGGTTGGTTTCTCTGTGCAGAGTACTGCTACGTCAGCTGTTAGGTTCTCGTTTAGCAGGATTGCCTTGATAAGGTCGCCCGTTTTGTGGATCTAGATAATTGTCTAGTTAGGTTTTGTAGAATCTAAGAGTACATAGAATTAGTATTATTATTATTCAAGTGAGTTTAACCAATAACCACGCGAATGACAATAACACACAAAGGACTAAAAGGTGACCGATTGAAGAGTGCTCACATTTTAAATATCGGTCAAACAACATGCAACTATTAATTTACCGAATGATTCTAGCTAATTAATCCAGCAAATACTTACAGTGCTAATTATCCTGGCAGTAGCAGTAGTGCTGGGCTCTACCCCTTGAGCAGTCATCTGCTCCTTTGCTTCTGCACACAGGATATCTGAAACCTGTCTGAGCGCCATCTCAACTCCACTCACCAGATCTGAAAGGGAAACATTTAAAATATGGCACTTTCTCGGTTGGAAATTAAAATAGTATGTATAATATTATATATTATAATATATAATATTATAGAGGGTCTTATCTGTGGTTGTGAAACTGATCTACAAACAACTGCTAAGATAATCAAATATCGCACAGTATCGCACAGTATCGCACAGTATCGCACAGTATCGCACAGTATCTGGCAGTGTCCCACAGTGTCCCACAGTGACTCACCCTGCAAAGTGTCGAGATGCTCCTCTTTAGGACTGACCATGCTCTGTTTCTGGATCATCAAGAACTCGTCTACTCCAGGACAGATAAACCGGGCGTTGTTCTGGCGGGGCGGCGGAGGTGGGATGTGGGGACGGGGTGGTAATGTGGGCTCTGGCAGTCCCATCTGTAATCATGGTAACTGTTAGGTAAATGTGGGTACAACATGATATTAATCCTGGCGAAAAACCAAAAAGAGGAGTTTATTAAGAATAAAGGAAATTATTAAGGAACTTGGAAGTTATTAAGAATAAAATTTAAATTAACAATAACAGAAAGTCATTAAGATTTAAGTTATTAACAATTAAGTTTTACCTTTTTACAATGCTCCTTCTCTTTAGTGAACCTCTCCTCGTAATCAGCCGTCTGCTTCTGTTTCATTGACTCGTACTGATGCCAGCTGCGCGCCTCCGCCCATTCGTGCCACTCTTCCTCCGCGCGCCACCTGCTCTGCTCCCAAATATGCCGTCTACTTTCCACCATGTTCCTACGTCTCTCTGCTTCTTCTGCTCGGCGCCGCGCTTTTTGCTCGGCTATCTTCTCCCGTTTACTCGGCTGTATTTCTACCTGTGGGAACATTTTGTTATTGATGTGCTATTTAGTATTAAGATACCCACCAAGTTCAATCTTTCATATTGTTTTTCTTCATCCAGGTTAAAAATAGAACTTGGGTGGGAAGATTAGGTTCTTAATTTTCAGGAGAGAAAGTAGCTGTTAAGTAGACTTCAACAAAAGACTCATACAATCTTACCTTCAGAGAAGGATCGTAGTTTTTCTTGTAGTTCAGTCGATGTCGACGTCCTTTCAAATGAAGCTCTTTAGCTAGATCATCATTAAAAGTACAGTCGCACATCTTGCAATGATAGATAACCTGAGTTAATGTTTGTGTAAGGTTAGATAAATAGATTAGACATAAAAAGAGCAATGCACTTGAAAGTGTTGAATTTTTTGGTCAGGTTGAATCTGGGGTTTTAACTTCTCCCTAATTATTAAACTATTAAAGCGAATCCGATAGCAGTACAAGTGGAGGATTTTAATGGTTCATTATTGACACTGAGTCACTATTATAACATAGCATGATTCAACTTTAAATGTACAATCAAGGTTTATCACACAATTAAAATAAAACAAAACTGAATGTAAAACCTTAGATGATTTGGAAGCGTCGCTCTTGGTCTCGATGAGTTCTCGTCCTACCACCGGAACTTCTGGTCTGGGTTCTGTATCTCCCGTTATTTCGTGAGGAGGTATTTCTTTACCCAACTCTTTGTACAATTTAGCCGCTTTCTTGTGTTTCATACCTGGTGGAGAATAAGGATGCAGATACCGTGATTATGTGACGAATATGTGTGGTAATCCATTACACTACCTCATATTCCATTTTTATCAGATAAAAACCGCGTAACATATCCTGATATGAGATGATTTTACATCATTAAACCTGTGATGTGCGCATCGAATGTTTCCTTGCCAGTACAGGTGACATCACACAACACGCACTTGTACGAGGCACCGGTTGTAGGCACTGTCGCCAGCTCTTCGTTCTTCTTCTCCTGCTCCCGCAGCGCTACACGCTTCTTGTGTCGCTGACCTTCTATGTGATCCTTGTAGGTTTTACTACTGGCACAAGATACCTGAGTGATATTGTAATATGTGATCCTTGTAGGTTTTACTACTGGCACAAGATACCTGAGTGGTATTGTAATAGTGATCCTTGTATGTTTTACTACTGGCACAAGATACCTGAGTGGTATTGTAATAGTGATCCTTGTATGTTTTACTACTGGCACAAGATACCTTAGTGATATTGTAATAGTGATCCTTGTATGTTTTACAGTTTTACTACTGGCACAAGATACCTTAGTGATATGTGATCCTTGTATGTTTACTGGCACCTGAGTGATATTGTAATATTGTTTTGTAACAAATACTCATTAGTTATTACATAATACAAAAAACAGAAATTATAGTTGCCTTAGAAGCAACAACGCAAGTATCTCGGAAAACACATCGATTTCAAAGTTAGTAGCTCACTTTGCAAGTTTCACAGAGATGATTGTGCATGTGTATTGTCTTCTGGAAGGGAATCTTACACGTGACCACACTTCTCTTGAACATGTGATGGGATCCTGGTGACATGTCAGAGTGCTTGTTCCTGTGTTCCCTCATGGACAGGGATGATAGCTTGGTGGTGGGAGGCATGTGAGGGGTGGGTTTGGGAGGCAAGGAGATAGGTGGTGCTACTGGAGGGGGGCACGAGAAGGATGATTGAAGAGAGTCCAGATCTGCGAAGTTGTTGTTGTCAGTTTTCTTATAATTAGAAAAATAACATTAGATTGATAGACCATAATAAGGAATTGACCACCCACTTAACAACCCAATGTACTAACGAGAGTAAGAGACAGAAGCCCGATGTTCAGAGGGAGGGGAGTTAGGTGTGATGTGTGATGAGAGCTGCTGTTTGGAGGAGAGGAGGTGGTGTGGGGTTTGGTGCGGGATTATCTGCGGGGTAACATTATTAAGGTTTGTACCAACTTTATCTGATTACTTGCTTACATTCAGAGAGCTAAAAACTGAATCCTAGAGGAGGTATCTATACCAAAAGTACGAAATTGGTAGTATTTGCAAATTATCATTGTATAGAACCTACACTAGCTTGAAGCCTATTTCCACCACCAGCCTGAATGTACCCATCAACAATGTCATGTTTCTGCTGGAACCCAGCGGTAAGAGCTTGTTGTTGCGCTTGAACCTGCTGTTGCTGCGCCTGTTGCTGTGCTTGTTGCTGTGCTTGTTGCTGCGCTTGTTGCTGCGCTTGTTGCTGCGCTTGCTGTTGTGCTTGTTGTTGCGCAGCTTGTACTTGTGCTGCAGCCAGCTGCTCGCTGTAAACCTTGCTGTAGAGGGTCTGTTCGTAAGAAGGCTGAACGCTGGTAGCACCGGTGTGTTGTAATGAGCTGTAGTTAGTTGCTGCTCCGTACGGGGGGGATTGGAATCTGAAGAGGTAAAAACGAGGTTTAACGAAGTGAAACGGACATTAGTCTCCTTAAACATGTGAGTTGCTTTTAAGGAATTATAGCCTTAAAAACGAAAACATCGGCGTCTCAACACAGTAATATTTAATAATATGGACAATACATATAATATATATATATCATATACCAATGTCTACATAGCTGGCGGCAAAGCTGTAAAGCTATTGTACCCATTGAACATTCAGGTTTTTAAGTATTGAGTATTGAAATTTCAGAGCAATACTAATTGCTAAATATTATACTAATTAAATAGAAATTACTAAATAATATAACACATGAACTAACCCTCGCAAAGAGGCTGCAGCTAATTGAGCGTGGGCAGCTGTGAGAGAGGTGTTAGCCTGTAACTGTGACTGGTTTGTGTAGTTGCTGTAAATGCCACTTGTCGTGTGCTGAAAAGTAGTCGACATAAGTAAACATAGTCATAAGTCAACGAAAGTCAACATAATTCAACATAATTCAACATAAGTCAACATAAGTCAACATGGATTTCATGGCGAGATGGGTTACATTTTTAACATCTTACTTTCAAACATACAATATAACAGAAATATGGTGATGAAAAAGTAAAATGATACTAGTCCAAATCCATACTTAGCCACCCATTTATACTACAGATGCAGATGGATAACATAATTCATAAATTCTATTAAGTAAAAATAGGTGAACCTTCAAATATGTGCAAGGAATAAGCTGCAGTAACTGGATAAGCTGCAATAAAAACGTGCGATATGAAGGGAACAAAGCAGGTAAAGGGACGAAAGAGTCCAGGTTGCTTGACAGATCGTTGTTACCTGACCATAAGCTAGAGATGTGTTAGGCTGGCTGTAGTAAGCAGCAGCTGCAGAGTACTGGGGAGCAGTGCCGGCTGTGGGGCTGGTGAAGGAGGCTGCCAGCATGGCAGCCCCGCTGAACGGCTTTGAGTTGTCGTAGGAGGAGTAGGCCGGCTGACTTCCTGGTATACTTCCTGGATAGAGTACATGACGTCATCTTAGTGCTCGATTTGAATGACGTCATCTTAGTGCTCGATTTGAATGACGTCATCTTAATGCTCGTTTTGATTGATGATATTGTTTTGGAGAAAGGGTTGTTGAACTATCCAGGATTATGAGTTTCATGCTAGCTGAATGACAAGACAAACGTGATTTTTGATTTGATTTGAAACTTATTAAAAATATCAATAAACAAATGTACAGCTAATCGAACAAACATATAAAAATAGGCCGAAAGTTAAAGATGCTAATAATATGTGTGGGACAGAGGAAAAGTTCCAAAACAAGTATCTTGTGACTAAAATATGAAAGTATCAAGCAAACTAACCTTGAACACCGAGAGTGCCAGTGGGGGAGGTGCTGTAACCGGGCTGTATGTTTGTAGGATAGGGTCCGTAATAGGGGGCCGTCACACTGTTCGCCATCTTGTCGAGGGGGTACTACTACTACTTCTTCTGGTGTTCTTATAAATATAGTATATTCTAAGGGGAAGTAATGAGAGGTTAGCTGTGTTTGGAAGTTTGATGTTATTTATTAGGATTGTTGCTTTTACAATATCGAATAATATAGTGCGTATTGATTATTGATTGCAGTAATACTGTAGAGTGCAAGAGTAGACTGTAGATACTATGATAATATATGTCGCTGCCAGGTACCGTTTGGTGCACTGTGCAGAGAGAATATAATGCAAAATTAAAAAACGGATCATACATGGAGATCTTTTCTACAGAGAGAGAGGCAATGCATGATATTCAAACGCAAACGATGATCTTCAATCTCGATAATATCCCCAAATATGCTTTACCAAATTCTTTAAGTGGACATGCTAAGCTGCAAGGAGTACGACACGTTATCTTCAATATTTCTTTATTTGAGCTAATCCTATTTGTCGTGCTTTGACCGACTATTTAAAAGGGTTTACTCTGCGCGTGATGGCAGTCGTTAGACTCACAACAATTCGAAACTTGGAAATCAATTATTAAAGTTGCAACTAGATATCATAATTTTTACAAAATAATACCTGATTTTTCTACGTGATGCATAAAAACAGCTATCAATAAACAATCACATTGTCGCAACTTAACATATTGTCTAGATATCAAATCTGATTAAATCAAAAACCAAATGCAGAAAAAGTACCAATCTTCGTTTAAAAAATTAGCAAAACTGTTAGAAGTCTCTGGTTTGTCAATCAGAAATAATGCCACAGGTCCCTATCAAATCGATCTCGGCTTTGCTGCTGTACAAGAAAACAAAATCCATAATTAATTAATATGAATGTCAATCCACAACTAAATTCTTATCACACAGTTTTGAATAAGCAGTTTTATAAGATTCTAACGCTTCCCTCGGAGTAAAATATTTGCATTTTAACGGAGTTGGCATCTTAACCTTAGTCGTCCGAAGCTCGGATAAAAGACAAAACTTGATGTTTGGTACATCGTCGTACTGAAGACGATACACGGATTTGTTCTTCTTGTGGTCTTCCTTGTCCTCATGCCCCAGCACTGTGTTCCCTTCAAAGGTTATCATGAAGAAGTCCCTGCAAATAGTGCACCAAACCATTGAGAACCGTGGGAGGTAACCCGGGAGTCTGTGCTTCCATGACCCTTCCATCCAACAATGGAAATCTGAGTTTATGTGCCTTCTGTATTCATCTGGAGGGAGGTTGAATTTCCGACATAGATCACATGACATAGTACCAGGAATGGGATTGGGTTTAGTGTTAAATGCTCTTCTGACCGATTTTACAGTCTCAAGGGCACTATCTTCGTCATCGTTCTCAGACTGTTTCTTTATGCGGAGTGGAAGATTATCAGCAACAACTCTGAGACCTCGAGTCCTAAACTTCAAGTATTTTGCTAGCAAGTTTACTTGGGATTCATTTACATCATCCAAATCAACTTCAAGACTTCCCGAAAGCTTTATGACCCTCTCCCCACCTTCTGCATCGTTGGATCCGGACGCTTTGGGTTCTTCTTTCTCTGGAGTTTTAACCCAATTAGATTTGTACGCGTTTGCAGTTTTAGAGAACATGCTTGTGTAGTCAGGACCCTTCTTAGCAGGTGTCCGTGGTTTAGGAGGTGGTGAAGGTTCCTTGTAAGATACAGCTACTGAGGAGTAGTTTGAGTCACCTAATCGAGGGGGTAGATCACTTTCATCTACAGGTCCAGCTTCCTCGGTAGCAGGTTTAGGTGGTAACAAAGTCGTTATCATTTCTTTTGTGCTCTCTAAATTCTTTGAAGCACTTTCCTTCAAGCCTTTCATAATTTGTGCAACATCAGAAATGTCAGGTAATTTTTGTGGAGGTGGCCGATGATCATGACTGCGCGGAGCTCCTCGGAGAGGACCAAACCTATCTCTAGGGTGGTGTTGATCGTGATAATCTGGGATGCTCGGAGGCGGAGGTCTACTTCTGTCCCAATGAGGGTAGGGCTCAGGCTGGTGTTCAGGCTTTTGTAGCCTGTGTTCAATATGAGGAGGAATTAACCTATCTGGAGGAGGTTGCTCAGAAGCAGCGTGGAGGTATGGTGGTCGGGATCGTTGGTCAATATAGGATTGTGCAGGTAGGACCTGTGGGTATGGGGCCGTTTGGCGATGTGGGTAGTGATTCACTTCATGGGGTTCTGGTCTATCGTAAAGCCTCTCTGAATGGTGATGAGGATGCTCGTCCAGGTAAGAAGGTGCAGGATGTGGACGAGGAGGAGGAGGAGGAGGAGGAGGAGCATATTGTCTATCCCAGTGTTCTCTGTTTGGATAGGGTTCATGTCTACGAGGATCAGGATGTGGTGGTGGTTGTCGATGATCTTCCCTGTGGGGGTCTCTAGAAAGACTTACTGGTTCTACTGGAGGAGCTTCCTCCACCTGCTGCCGAAAAGCTGGAACCTTTCGAAACTCATTAACGTCTATATGGGGCTTGGGTTCAATTGGACCCTTTTCTCTTCTGTCCTCTCTCGAGCCAGGGTTCCTACTGTGGTCACTATCACGACGTTGTCTATCATCTCTGTGATCACTATTCCTCCTATCATCATATCTTCGTTCATCATATCTGTGATCGGGTCTCTGACTGCGATCATTGTTTCTATCATGGCTTTTATGACTTCTCGAATGGTGACGATCATCTCTTCTGTCTCGAGGTCTATCTGCATGACGAGATCTATTATGTTCACGAGATCTTTCGTGCTGCTTGACTTCAATTCGTAGATCATCTCTTTCTCTACTGTTGCTCCGTGTTACTCGTCTCATTTTTGAGGGAACTTCGTCGTGTCTTTTCCGAATAGGGACACTTATTGTTATGTTGGGCCTTTCAGATGGAGAACTGCAAATCTCAGATGATTTCTTTGCATTATAAGATGCAAATGGATCATCGTCAGATGTCTTGCTCGCATTGTAACTAGAAAATGGATCATCTGAATTCCCGCTGGTTCGCTGCTGAAGGTCGGAAAATGTAGGAATTTCTTGACCCTTTCCAGCCATACAATCCTAAAAGAAAGCTTTAAAAAACAGAAATTAGAAAACGAGTGAAACATCTTTTTTTACAGTGAATGTAAATATTAAACCATTAAACTGAGAATTTCATTGATGATACAATTGAAGTCGTAAGCGTTACTGAATGAGAAGCAATGATACAACAGGTGGAGTTTTTTTAAATGCCATAAATTATTTTCAGGGAAATTTTGATTTGTAGCCATAAGGCGCGATTGTTATGGAATTTCATTATTTTATAATTTCATCACAAACTTGCAGTTCTATTCAAACAAAAAGCTGTCTATTTCAAGTACGAATAAAATCGGCATTCCGCTCAAAACAGTGAAAACATTGGAACAGCAAAATACCCAAAATATAAACAAGGATACAAATTTCACAGATCATGCTTCAAAAATGTGTCACCTTCTGGAAGAAGAGACAGACTCAATAAACTGTCCCTGTTTCTTGAACATGGCATTAAAACCGGGTATAAAACCATGCTGTACAACATAAGAACAAACATTTTTGTAGTGCTCAGTTGATTTAACATGCTCGCTCCCAACTTCAATATTGGTCCAACTAACATTACTCTCACATATGTTACACCAAACTGCAGATCCATCGGGGAACTTGTTTATCATGGATTTGTGGAAACCGCAAAACTGACAAGCAAGATCTCTGCAACAGCACGAGCTCTGCAGCTCATGAGGGTGGAACAGCCCTGTTATTTCATACTTCATGTTTGTAATCCGGAGAAACTTCATGGGAAGACGCTTCTTTTGGATGACAAATTCCTTCACTTTCTCGATGTGACGAGCTGATTTAGCATGGAAGTCAAAATTGAAAATATCAGGAGCATATGGAAATTGAACGTCACAAAGAGTGCACAAAAGTGCAGCACTTGAATCATTTACAATACCACGCCCTTTTATATCACATACAGTGACCATCCAATTATACGTTTTGTGACCCATATACTTGGCATGAAATGAATTGTAATGATTTTTCCAGTGGTCTTGGTCGAGAAAGTGCTGGCTGCTACACATGGAGCAACACCAAAGAGCTGTACTGTTCTGGACGGCGGGCGCTGGAGCAGCGGTGAAGCGGGAGTCGATTGGATGCTGGAGAAGCATGTGATTGTTCCGTTCCTGCCAGTCAGTGAAGCTTGTGTTACAAATATTACAAATCCGGGGATCTCCAACTTCATTCTCGTGGTGGGTGCTGTTGTGTGACTCTATCTCACTCCAGCTGCTGAACTGAGTGCTGCACTGCCCACACTTCATCTGTCTTTTGCAGTTAAAGTTTTCTATAATGTTCTTGTCCGGGTCCAGTTCGAAGTCGTCTTCAATCTCTTTCAGCTGATCGAGTTTATTGAAAAGAGAGGTAACAAGGCTCCTTAGTTCGTCTCGAGCTGCATTTAAGTCTTCGGTAGCATGGTTAAGACTTCGATCACCTCCGATATCCATCTAGCGTTAATTAATATCTCTCAGGAGACTATGATTGTAACAATTTACCTACACAAGATCAAGAATACCTGTAAGTTAAGCAACACAATTAAATAAATAGAATATTATTTGAATTTGAAATATTACTAATCAGTGATTACATAACATTATCATCTACAAGATAAACAACAAGCCTGGATGAATTAATTTTCATAAAATGTCTTACAATTTACAATTAGCAACCTTGAATATCTTCGTGTCTTGAGGAATGTAACCGTTTTTCATAAAAGCATCTCTTCTACTTAAACAGTGTGATCGTGATCTCACATGTGTCCCAATATCCATAAAGTGAGTTCCAAAAGTAGAAGGAAAGGATATTTTGCAAATCGTACAATTAATGAATTTCAAGTCAGATGACATGGCAGACTCAAAGATATACGGAGGTGTTTCGCAAAACCTACAAGCTGCCATCCGACAACAACAACCCATTAGAAAGACATGAGGGTGGTATTTATTAGTAGGATGAGGGGCCTTTACATCATCACCCGGTTTAATAGGCCCCTTAATAAGTTGTAGAAACTTTG